TTTTTAATGCAGGTTTCAAACTTCTTTTCTAATAGCTCTTCAGAACTACCTAAAGATACATTAAGTAATATAAGTGTTTTTATTTGACCTGAAGAATAGTTGGTCCAGAAGGTTGAACTTTTTCAGTGAAAATTCCAGTGAGTTTAAATTCGTTTGCTAATTACAAACAAAAAAAAAACTAAAATGTGTTAATGTGTTAATTTTAAACTATTACTAAACTAAACTGAAAAATATGCATTAAATAAGTAATATTAAATAAGTACTATTAAAGTACCCATAACAATACTCATAAAAAGATTTTTTTAAAACCTTCTGTTATTGTTATGCTATGTTTAAACTATGCTACTTAACTCGATCAATATGCACCTATATGTGCCATTTTTTATACTAAATCCATACAGAATTCACATAAAAAATATATATAAAAATATATATACCGGTATTATTTCATTTAATCACGCGATACCTTCAGTATTCCTATTTCCACATAAGATTACATTTTATTTCCTGATAAATTATATTATGATATAATTTAATTTATATAATAAATTCAAAAAAATTATAAATAATTACTTTATCATAATCTATTAGTCATAATTAATATTAATTAATTAATTTTACTAAAATTTGTAATAATTAAAAAAAAATTATTTTATTTTTCTTTAACAGACGTTACGAAGAAGATTCTGAAAATGCCTGGAATTGTGGATCGTGGTTCGAATATATGCTCATCGTTATATTATCAACCATTCTATTAGTAGGTGTTTTAGTGTTAACATTATTTTGGATATTATTTTATCGTGGTGGCTATTCTTGGTCGGAAAATCGACAATTACAATTTAATTTACATCCCACTTTAATGGTTGCAGGATTCGTGACATTATCCGGATTTTGTAAGTAAAGTCAATAAGTATTTTTGATACAAGAACATGAACAGCGCTATTAATTGTGTATTTAAGATACCCATATATTCTTATTTGGTTATATGTACATCTACCTAAAAAAATTAAGACTAGTTAAGACTGGAAGAGTTGCATTTATAGAGTTTTTTTATAAAGTTTGTGTAAATGTTGAGTTCTGATTCTTTTTTACTGGTTTAACTGGCGTCACAGCTTTTGAACAATCTTAATCTCGTATTTCAATTTCAATACAATGTTATAACTATTTTCCAGTGATTTTTATTTGCCTTAAATCAATTCTTACTCTATCGAACAGGTAATATAGCGGACTCATCACTGTATTTTTTCTATTTTTATAATTTTTGTAACAGAAATTGTTCTTATTGACGTAAATTTCTAGTTAAATCTATTATATTATTTATTCTATACATATATTTATTTTTTTATATATTTATTCTATTATTTAATCTTTTATACAATCAAGTCAAAAACAAAGTTAACATACTTCTCAACTTCATCGATACTTCATATAATAACGTTAATCGCTTATACTGCCACCTTTTATAACTTTTCTTCTAAATTATATCAAAATTTTTCTACTTTTTTTCAGATTATATGTTATATTATCTATTGTGTTTAAATAAGTTTCATTCTCATTTTCTTCAATATTTATTAAGCCCAATTCTAGAAATTATAGTGAAAAAAGAGACAAAGCGAAAATTAAATATTTATTGCCAAAATGTCGAGATTTGATCAGATCAAAGCATTCCTGTGTGGAATTCTATAAATGAATTAACTTACTAAACTGTCAATATATATAGTTTATATATATTTTGTACAATAATTTTCTTTTTAAACCGTGAAAGTTGACCTTAAAAACGTAAACCAATCATATATCTGATATTTGAAGATTTCCTGTGAAAAAGCATATTTCTAGCAACATTTAGACATTCCACTATTAAAGCCTATGTATCACAGAGCATAACGGACATCCTAAATATGAATAATAAAACGATAGTATGCTTTATCAATCGGACAGATTGGCTTTAAAAATACTATTAAATCTGTTTTACAAATATGTGATAGCAAATCGATTCTCATGCGCTACATGGACAGAAGAAGCTGCTCTGTAGCCAGCATATCCTAACAAAACACCAATAATAACAAGATAATTATTATTTTCTAAAGATTGTTTCTTAAATGATTATGGTCTATAAACACTGATTTAAAAGCGCTGTGGTCTATGCGATATCATTAAATTTTAACAACGTACTAAATACCGTCATAAAAATATAATAACTTTTGTTTCTGAAAAACTTATAATAATTACTTGTCATAAAAAAAAATAGTGTTGTGTGATTACAACTGCATTTTTTTTCGACACTTATTATATTATAGAATGGGACCATGTTAGCTTTATATGACTATCAGTCCATATAACCTACCCTAACTAATGCCAAATAAACAAAAACATATCTCTTCTATTTATATGAAAAAAATTATATATAATCAAATTAATAATATAATTCCTACATTTGTTTGAAATGTAAACCTTCCATTAATGACTTCATGGTGTTACGGATATAGAAATTACTTTATATCTTGGAAAGATGATTACTCTTGCAAATGCAATAAAATTAGTGTGCCGCATAATCCAATTACTTATTTATTTTTAACAGCACTATAATGAAAATTCATGCTTATTAATATTTTTAATTATTTACTTTATTTACAGCAATTTTACTGTATCGCCTGTGCCGTTGTCTGAAACATATCTATGTTAAGCTCCTACACATGTTTTTCCATGCTTGTGCCATTCCATGTGTAGCGCTCGGTTTTCTAGCAGTTTTTGAATCACACAACCTGAGTGATCCACCCAAACCACATTTCTACAGCATGCATACTTGGTTGGGGCTGGTAACAATGGGCATGTTTGTATTACAATTCGTCATTGGATTCTTTAGGTAAGTTTTCCGAATAACATTCTATACACATATGCTATTGAATTTACATATATATTGTATATATATTTTGTAGTTTTCTCGTCTTGCTCTGCTGTGAAAATCGCACCTATAAATGCCGTTCAACTATGGTGCCAATACACGCCAGTTTCGGTTTAGTCAATTTTATGTTGGCTATAGCGACATGCATCACTGGCTTGATAGAGAATGAACGTCAAGTACCCGGCGAAGTTCTCATGAAGTAAGTATGCTTTATCCAGCATCTAAATTCAATTTCAAGCTCATTACGTCGATTTATTCAATTAAATTTTGCACTTTATTCCAGCACACGCAACTCGGAAATCGAGCACTACATTGTCAACTCTCTGGGAATTGTTTTTGTAGCCATTGCGATTATCGTCACTGTTGCCGTGCGAAGATCAAATGCCCCTGCTACTGCCAAAGTATATGTAACCGAACGCATTTAAAAAGTTTTATTTTCTTTTGAATAAATTCATAATTATTACATTTAATTAAAAACAATTAAATCAAATTAAAAACAAATAAATGAGATTAATTATAAAAAAATAATATTTAATTATATTAAATAAAATTATATAAAATTTATATAAAATTAAAATAAATTAAATAAAAATAAAATAAATTAAATAAAATTAAATATAATTAGTTAAACTTATCATAAAACGTATCGCGTACACCGCTTTAATCACGAAAGGGACAAACCTGGTGTGCTATAATACAACACACATCCCCCCGCTTTAACATTATAACATACATGCGAATTACACACAAAATATTTATATTAAAAATGATAATTAATGTCTAATACTAAATCTCACATACCTTTTATAAAAATCTTAAAATTTTAATTTTTGTTAAAAGTGCCAGTCCAGAAACACCCACGCAAGTTCCATTTTATAGTTATAATTATTATTTCTAGATAGTGGCCGACTAAAGTAAGCCGCACTTTACCGCTAGATATTCCTGCACCGGCTATACATTTAGAATATGTTTTATATTAATACGTGCCTTTAATATTGGCTAGCACAGTGAATACTTATAGATCATACATTTATATTTGAGATAAGTAAATTTTTTTTATTGTAACTAAAATAATTTAAAAAAAAAAATTAATTTAATATACATGTACTTATACGCTTTTGTATATTATTTTATATAATAAATCGACTTTGCAAGAACACTACTTGCAGAATATATAGGTCACTACACAGTCGAGAATATCATTGCAAAAATGACAGAACGAGGAGCAAATTGGAACAAAGTCACACAACTCATCGAAAATGTGCTAAGGGAAAAAGGAAAGACCTGGACGCAAACTAATTTAAAACAAAGAGCAACAAAGAGTAACTTTCCAATTCGGATCATGAGTGTGAAGCTGGACGCAGTTTCTACGAGAAGCATATAGTATGGATAGCCAACTTATAAGGGATCCTACCTGAAGTAATGCGAAAGAGGTCCCGAGAGAGATATCTCGAAAAAGAAGAGGATCCATGGACATCCTTTTTTTATAAATTCTGTGTAATGAACAGTTACAACGCTGCTACGAGGGCAACAGATAAGCCAAAGTAATTTTCTTTAATAGTTATATTACCTGTGTGGAAAGTAGACTATTTTAGATCTTAAATGATCACTGCTTATTTAAAATTTAGACCCTCTAACAATATCAGCATAATTGCATACAGTTTTACTGTAATATCTGCAGTATAATATATAGTCACTTAGTTAATATTAGTTTTAATTGTAACTACATATCCAATATTTTTGTTATATTTAGACCCTTCTGTATATAAAAGAGTGTATGACTACAGTTTATTCGGAAGCTAATCAATAATAATATTAGTTATACGCATATTTGTCATTAATATTTTTGCTTTGGGACAAAAAAGCTTAAATACTTCATCTCTAATAAGATATTTGTAACTCTTTATTATATCAACATAAATATTAATTGGTTTTGCATATTATACTTTAATTTTAATTAGAAATTCTCTAGAAATTAATTAGAAAATCAGTTATAATGTTAAGTAATGCATTTTAATTTTAAGATATTCTAAATAAATTAGATTACATATGTAATTAATTTTTCAAATTTAATAATATTCATTTTTATAGCTTTTATAACTAAAGTTATTGTATTCAATTAAATAAATAGCAATATCATTAATGAAATATTATAATATTCACAGAAAAATGCCGTTAACTGGCATTGATCCAAATGGTTTGATAACGTCAATTAATAGGGCACATATTTAAAAATATTTCAATAAAATATCTGGTTTGAATTAAAAAACAGCTTTGTATACTACGACACACCTTTAGATACGTAACGTCCATAATTGACATGTATATCTTTTATAATAACAACTAGTTCTGTGCAAGATAACGAGAAACCTTCTGAAGTACTTCGCTGACAGAAACCAACTTAGTAAAACATTTAAGCACCAAATAAAACGTAGTCTTATTTAATTATATAAATAAGAATTTACATATATTAATCTGCAGTTTAGTATCGCTGTAGCCTTTAAATATTAGTATACTTACTTATAAAAATAATCAACTGACGGCTTAATATGTAAATTCAAAATTGTTCATATTGATACAAGTGTCTAGAATTATTATAACTCTATATTGTCACTTCTTAAATTTTAATCAATCTTTTGACATTATAATCTGGTATGATATCAAATATATGTGTTCTAACTTCTCAAAACATTTGGTGTTAAGCCTAAAATTTAAAAAAAAAAAGTGAGAAAAAGTATAGAAAACCAAGAAGTATCATATGTATTCAGTATTTAATCAGAATTCACTGATAGATGTATTATCTATTATTTTTAGTGTTTAAATTAATTATAATATGTACTTTAAAAGATCTACAGCAGGTTAACTGTAGTAATATCACTACAGACACGATGATGAAATTATATGGATTCGTGTATACGATCTTATTATTAAAACAATAATTCTTTTCTGAAATCTGATAATTGTATATACAGACGATTTGATAATATCGATAATACCGGGCTTTATTAACATTAAACATGTCCCTTACTAAACACCTGGTACAGAAACTCAAACTCCAAACTCAAAAAATTTGAAAAAGAGAACATGGAAGATTCTTGAAGGTAAAAAAAATGTGCGTGCACAAAGTATAAGTTGTTTTAAAGCTTTCTAGAGCTAGTATGTGTCATATAGCGTAAGTAAAAGGCTTTTCCCATTATGAAGAGGTTTCTAAACTGCTATAGTTATACATAAAAATATAAATTTTTCAGTCAAATAATAACCAATGTATAGTATACATCTTAAATAAACTGGCCTAGCTAAACTCTTTGAGTACACATTGCAGATACAGACTTTGCAGTTATGAAATTACTGCATAAGAGATATCGAAGGGAAATAGCAATTACATCTCTAATATCAAAATCGCTATATTTTGATAAAAATTGAGCTTTAGTTAAGTGTTGATATGAATCTAAACAATTTTTACTGGATTGTCTTCTTTGAGCAATCACTTAGATAACTCGAGAGCTATATGAATTGTGCTTGAGTTAATTCCTCTTTCCTATAAGCTACCTATGTGTAATCTCGGTGGAAATATTACTTCCATTATTGTTATAATTTTCGCAACATTTAATATATATATAAATATATATATATTTAAAGCGGGAGTTGAAATTTTGTTCTTTAATGAAACATAACAAATATAATAATTCAGCGGGTGATTAGTCAGTAGGATTACCAATTCGTGCAGTTTGGTCTATGCTTCTGACACGGCGCATTGTCTTAGTAAAAGAAAACATTTTCTTCGTATGGGGACATTTTTTCATGATTCCCTTTTTTAAAAGCACCAGTTGGACAATCTAGTATTTGCTTTTGATGGGTTGGCCGTTTTTCAATGTAGTTGATGAATAAAATTTCATGCATATCCCAAAACAAGGACGCCATAACCTTGGCAGCAGTCTGTTGTATTTTTGGCCGATTTTGGCGAGGTTCGCCATCTGCTCTTCACTATTCTGCTGCAGATTAAACTCCAGAGTAAAGTGTCTAAGTTTCGACTACTGTTATATATCGACGCAAAAAGTGATATCTCGCTTCAACAGCTTCAAACATCTTTCAAAATCATCGACACATTGTTGTTTTTGATCAGTTGTCAGCAAATGCGGAACCCACTTCAAAAAGAGTGGGTACATTTTTATTTTATTTAATTTTTTTTTATATTTGCAATCTGTTTATTTAACAATAAGCAAATTATTTTAAATAAATTAATTACAGGAATAGTTGATCTCCGTTAATTGAGTTAGACCACCTATTATACTAAGAGAACTTACTTATATAACATTTATATTATATTCGTTTTACTTTAACTTATTTATTCCCAAACTCTACTTGGTAGGTCTAGAACCTGGAACCTCTTCAACCTTTGTCTATAAAAGCCGCCATGTAAACAATGATTTTAAACGCATGTTACATTTTTACTTGCCTTAGCAGAATTGTATTAATTTCAGTAAATATCATCTTAACAAAATGTATATAATCTAGAAAGTGTGGATTGTGGTAATTGGCTAAACCAAATTGTTTTTACAAATCTTTTAATGGTCCATTTAGAAATATATATAGAAAATTTAAGAGCGATTTAATCTCTTCTCTTAAAATGAAAATTGACACTCTTTTATAAATAAAACTCTCTTAAGAACGCGTTCAAACCGTCTTCAAACAATCGCGTTCAAACAGCTTTTCATCTTCACTTGTTCGAATCAGTCAAGTGACGGTAGTCTAAGCGATCGGTCGTAAGTGGGTGTGTTCGTCTTATCGCGGATAAAAAATTATTTCAGTTAATATAATTAATTGCAAGTTAAACGCTAAGATATTAAATAATTAATTCATTAGCTTTAAGTGAGTGTTGCTTTAAGTTAAATATTTAATAATTAATATGAATGCCTAGTAATACGTGTATCTGAAACGTTGAATATTTTATTATATTTCGTTATTGTGTAAAAATTGTAAATAACATTTCAAATGTTGATTTGCACTTAAAAAATAAGTGAAATTTTTTTTATTACTTCTTTTGAAAATTTGTCAATTAACAGTAAACAAATTCAATGAAGCAAAACTGAAATAGCCAATATTGCGAAATGGCGAAATGGACTCATTTACCACAAAGCCACCAATT